GGTCGCCTCTCTGCAATTGGAGCTGGTCAAATGCAGTTTTGAAGAGGATGTCGGCTAAGCTGCCTGAGTCGACGAGTACGCACCTGACCTCGAAGTCGTTGATCCTTAGCTTTATTACGAGCGGGTCGTCGTGGGGGTAGTGGACCCCTCGCGCATCATCTTCTGTGAAGAAAATTGGCTCTTCTGTCCTCAGCCGCTTTGGGGGGTTCTGCTCCTCCCAGGTGGCCTTACGAACCGAAGTCCGAGCTGTTGTTGAAGTGCAACCAGCAACGATCAAACCTCCTACTATCATGTGGATGGTCCCCCGAACTGGCCTCTCCTCCGGAGGCTGCCTTTGTAGTTGTTCGGCCGGCCTGCTACTGGACTCGGGGGCATCCTTACCGTGCTCCCCTTGTCGACCTGTTTTATTACTATTATTATTATTATTCTATACAAAGTTTCTTAGATACCCGCGACGGATGAGCTCCTCTATCTCATCGCGGAGGTTTTTACAACTCTCGGTACTGTGACCGTGATCTTTGTGGAAACTGCAATACAGGTTCTTATTTCTTTCATTGGGATTCCCCCTCAGACGAGGTGGTCACTTCACGTACAGGGCGTCATTGATCGCCATTARGATTTTAGCCCGCTTCACGTTCAGTGGGGTGTAATCAGCTCGGTCCGCTACAGGAGGTCGAGAAAACTGACCCGACCTTGCCCCTCGAGCTGTGTCCTTTTTCTTTCGACTGTCCCCTTGACTGGAAAGCTCTCCTTCCCTCTTTCTTTTTTCGGGCGCGCCCTCGCCCTTTTGGTTGATCTCCTCTTCGGTGGCTATGAACCTGTCCGCAAGCTTTAGAAACTCGGTTATGGTCGCTGGTTGGTTGACGACCATGTGCCATTTGAACTCTTTGTGTATCACGCCTTTCTTGGCTGCTGCAAGGCGTATGGCGGGGTCCAGGCGCGGTATTTGCATATAAGCATCGTTGAACCGCTTGATGTAGCCCCGGATGGACTTTCCCTCTCTTTGCACTATGCTAATGAGGCTTTCTTCAGTTTGCGGGCACCGTTTTCTAGTGACGAAGTGGGACGTGAAGGCTTGTGCGAACTGTGCCCAACTTCTTATCGACCCAGGTGCCAAGTTCCGGCACCACGTGCAGGTTGCTCCCCTAAAAGTAGTGGAGAAGGCCACGCACATGCACGACTCACTGGCTCGCGCCAAGTGCATCTGTGACTGAAAGGCATCTACGTGATCATTTGGGTCAAATGACCTGTCATACTTGTCAAGAGGGGGGAGCTTGAAGTCTTTGGGCATTGGGACTGCCAGGAGTTTGGAAGACAGGGGGGATGGAAACGAGAGGAGGGGAGCTTTGACTTCGGCCGAGCTTACCTCTTCTTTGCCCATGAGCTC